ACAATTCATTATTAAAAAAACGAAATCTAATTCCTGATTTGTTTCTAATTAGTTTAATTTGATCAAAAAATCAAGATGTTGGTTTATTAATTAAAACTAACAGTGAAAGCATTTTGTATTAAAGTATAGTCAATAAAAAGTTCTGCTTTTAATTTATCGAATGGGCCATTTTTCATACAAATCAATGCAATGGTTGTTTCACAATGATTGATTTAATTTTTCCGTTTTTTTTTGAGACACACTGTATGTGAAATTCAAATTAGCCAATCAGAATTTCACTCCACTCCATAATAATTTCACATACAACAATGTTATATAAGTCCTTAAATATAAATTTGCTTTATTTAAAAAAAAACTTTATAAATAACTGCAAAAATCTTCATCTGAATTTTCTTCAGGATTATTAAATTTAAAATTAATTAAAATTGATCAATTAATCAATAATCGATTAATCGATTAATATTTTTAATTAATCATTCACGTTTACTTTTCCACTACGTAATAATTATTTTAAAAAAAATTTCCAAATTAACCAATTAACGTCTACTTTTCCACTACGTAATAATTATTTAAAAAAAAATCATGAAAAATTTTATGATCCTCATCTTCGTGTTCGTTATTATGTCATTTAACTTTTTGACACCTTTCGGTGTACCGCTCGAGAATCCTCCAGCAAAGGAAACGGAATCTGGAAGATCTCTTTCAACAAACAGTACTGTTTCTGACGTTCACACCTCAGGTAGTTCTTGTCCAGGAGGGTACTGCAGCGAATACACTTATTCATTTTGCTGTCCGACTTATTGTTGCTCACTTTCAACTAAGTACTACGGTTATTGTTGTGTGGAAGGCTGTTGCTATTATTAATAAAGCTTATTTATAAAATCATTTAATCTTATTAAATAATTTTTATTATATATGTTTTAGTTAATTTTTATTATTTATTAAATATTTATTTTTACCTTTGATTTTTGTTTGTGTCAAAATGTGGCGCTAGTCATTTTTCGAAAAACGTTTTTAGAATGTTGTTTTCTGTATGCTTTCTGTTTTTACATATGAACATAGAACATATTCTCTGTAGCATTTTTCCGTCATGGAACCATACTAATACTAACATGGAAAAAAACCAATTTCTGTCTATTTTTTGTATTTACGTACCACTTTTTACTATTACCATTACTCTAATTTATTTATTTTTTCCAAATATTTAAAGAAATCCCGTATTAGTATCGTCTTTTGGTATGTTTTCCATGTTAATATGTTTTCGATATAAAACACACTGAAAATAAACTATTTTTCCATAGATTTTCAGCTAGTGATAGAAAAACATTGGCCAGCTAAGAACCTGGATAGTTTTTAACCAATAATATATTAAACAATTAAATATACTCGCTAAAAAATAGTTGAAATGTGAATCTAAACTAGTAAGTATTATCCAAAACCTCAGGTGAAATAGATTCATTAACTGTATTAGAAACTTCCATATTACTGTCAAATATTTAAAAATTATCGTTATTTATTGATCCATTCAAAATCCCTTTCATGATCAAAAGGTTCATCATAATTATTATTATTTAATGGTTGACTATTATTACTATTACTATTATTATTATTACTACTACTGTTATTTACTAATGGTTCATTGTTACTATCACTTCTAGCACTATTATTATCCAATGATATATGTCTTAATTCGCCGCCATTACTACTATTCTGTTACGAGAATTAATGGCAGATTTATTTCTTTTTGTCGTTCTAAGTAATTAGAGAATCTTTTTTTATCATCAATCGGCTAAATCGATTTTTTCTCAGTCGGCCGACATCACTAATTAGTACCATTGCATGTGCATAATTATTGGTTGAGTAAGATGGTTTAAATATGAAATCTGATTTTGTTAATATCTTGCACTAATTTTGTTGCAGAACAATCCAAAAATAAGTCTTTTAACCAATCATATTCCGATGAGGAAAAAATATTGGATTCGCAGCAATCTTTTCAATATTATAAGTTTCCTTAATTCAGTTGAAATAATTTGCGATCCTGAAACTTCAATCATATGTTCTTCTTTTAACTTCTCTCAGTATTTTTACATAATTTCATAATTTTTGTGTATGAATTGTACAATTATTATAAAAAATTTGCACAGTGTCTTTGTGGCCTTTGCATCAATTATACACATACATATATTTAATATGAGTTCATACTTTATTTTAATAAAAAAATGCCAGTTTTACTATTTGAAGTTTTATTGATATTCAAATATATTGAAAATGATTATAAATCATTATACACTTGCATTCTTGTCAATAACAATGGCACAATATCAATAATGAAAAATCAATTTCATTCTATATTCAATATTAATTAATTGTTTATTAATAGAAGATAATGATTTTTTAATAAAAAATAACATTGAATTAATTAACTTTTCAACTATTGAAGAAACTACCATCATATAACTATGCTAAGTTTACAACTGGATTGGATGGTTTTAGATTGATAAGAATTACTTATAGAAATCCACTGATAGCTAGTTTAAAAGAAAGACTGGTAAATTTTATTTTAGAATATTCAAATATCAAGAAACTTACTGGTATTGATTGTGAAAAATTAATTAGATCATTTGCTGATTGTAATAATATTGTTACTACTTGCTTTCAAAATCTTTGTGAATTACATTTTATAATTAACAATAATTTTTAAAAATTATTGATAATTAGCAAATACTTGTAAAAAAATTTGAGTTTTAAAATAGGGTTCAGATCTTTATATAAGAATAATATTAATGTTGATTATAGTCTAGCTCAACCAATTAAAGCACAACATGCAATTCAAAAGCTAGCTATTGTTTTACACCATAAATTTATTTTATCAAGTGATTTAATAAAAACAATTTTAAATCATTCACAATCAATAATTGATTATTCTAACAGTAATAGAAAAAATAATATAATAATATCAACATTCTAATGATTTCTTAGCCCTCAAGTGTATTCCCACAAAATCTTTCTTTTTTTGAAACGGTGTACATCTGAGAGGTTTAAACTCAGAGACAAGAACTTGGTATTTTGTCAACCAAACATGAAAAATCAGGTCTTTTCTTGTGTCTTTGGTAGCATGGTCCAGCCGAATTTCATATTCTTTAAATGGTTGATTGAATATAGGATGCACATGGGGATATAATAGATTGCAGCAATGCAATTCCTCTGAAATTTTGGATAGGGAGACTGCATCTAAAGTATGTTAAGATTTATTACAATAAAAATTGCTTATAATTAGCAATTAGTCTTTTGATCTTCTCCCCAAAACTAAGCTGAAATTAACTTACAAATCATTAAATGTGAAAGCTGCAGCTCTATCCAATATTGATCTATCAGCATAAATATAGCTGTCCTTGTGCATTAAATGTTTTCTTATCACTTCTTGAAGCATATTAGATATTGAAGATGGTCCCATTATGGGCTGTTTGATCGTAAATGGTTTCTCTAGAGTTATTGAATACCATTCTATTTTGGTGAAATCCGGATAAGGGCATGGGTGGACAAGAACATTGATTGATGCTAAGGCTCTGAGGTATGATTGTAAAGGATAATAAATTCAGTAAGAACATGATTTTACTTCTGACTTGTGGCATCTCAAAATACTTACAAAATCTTGTATGAGTCATTCCATACTAATCCATCACTTTTTACTTTATCAACTACCTTTTATTGGTACTGATGAAATTATTGTGTAATATTTATATCTCCAACTCTCCACTAAAGTATATAAATAATTTTAAAATGGGCTGAAAAACAGGAATCAAAATTCAACTTGCCACACACCTCATATAATGGAACCATATCCAGCTGCTTTGTGACATTCTTGAGATCAATTTCAAGTTGTTCATCAGAAGAATTAGAATCAGAATTAGATGACTCCTCAGTTGAATCATCAGCACTTGTGGTGTGGAAGGATCTTGCATTGTTGTTTTAATCTGTGTGCATCTGAAAAAGAGGAAAAAATGAGAAGAAATTTTTGTGACTAAAAATTAAATACAGTTGAATTCTGTACAGACATTTTTGCTGCTGCTGTCATCTTTGTCCCAATCCAAATTGCGTGTAATTTCCTCAATGTCTTTGTCTTGATCTGAATTGTCTAATTAATATGTATTAGAAATTGCATTGAAATAATAAGTAGGAGGAAGATATAAAGCAAATAAAAAAAAAACCTTCTACATCATCCTCATCATTGCTAAAATAAATACAATCAATATATGTAAATTAATTAAATATTACAAATAACAATCAAATATCCACATAAATTACTTTTTGCCCAACAGCTTCAATATTGATTGGGTGGCATCTGTTCTGTGTTTCTTTCTTGTCATTTTGTTTAAATGAAATGATGTGAAAAGGTAATATAATATATTAATATATTCATAAATGAGGTAGAGAAAATAATTTAATATCAAAAGAATTTGTTTTTTTTTTTAACAAACTTTTAAAAGTTGTGATTTTTTTTCATATATTTTAATGTATTATAAAATAAATTTTTTTATATTACTATAGTATATATATTTTGTAAATGAGGTATAGAAGATAATTTAAAAGAATTTGGTTCTTTTTATGCAAACTTTTAAAAGTTGTTTTTTTTGTACACAAATATATTCTAATATCTTATATATTACTATTTTGGGACATATATAGTAATAGTAATATTTTTAATATATTAGACTATTTTGATAATTTTGGATAGTTTCTATTATTATTATTATAATAGCTAGAGAAACTTTTAATTGAGGTAGAATAAAAAATCATATAAAAAAATGAAAATATCATCATTATTGATAATTTATTAATGATGCGAATCAATCAATATAGCCTGTGGCATACAAAATCTTTATTAATTTTGTGTATTTGGCATATTATTGTATTAAAATTGGTATGTGGAAAACTGATCAGAGTTTCAATTTCGTATATTCCATGGTCTGCCAAGTCCCAACCCCAATATTTGTGGGATGTTTTAGAAAGAAAAGAGAACCATTGTTAGTTCAGTCAGGGTTCTTTCCAAATATGTAATTATTGACGTGGCTAATGCAAAAATTGATCGACAATAAATGATATACATGTAAAAATTAAAATTTTATTGTCTATTATGAACAAAAGTGATTGATATAATTAATAATAATACAATGTTGTTGTTCTTAGCTGATATTAAGGATTTGTTGATGGTGGACAAAATTAAGTTATTATTATCCATTATGTAAAGAGAAAATTCTGTTATTATTATTAGATAGACATTTATAAATTTCTTTGGTTTAAGTGAATGTCACATCTAAAAATAATTTTAAAGAGAAATAAATCATGATCAATTAAATTTTTGATGATAATGGAAAAAGGATCAAATTTCTGGTTGGCAAAAAATTTAGAATTAAATAATCAATAAATTAATTATACATT